CGACGACTTTGCTGCCTGCTCCGCGGCTCTTTGTCTCCACTTCGGGCAGGCTCCCGACTCTGGGATTTCGCTGTGAGAGCGGGCTGGGGGGGCCGGGGGCGAGCTCTCGGTTTCCCGGCCGCCCCCCGCTCGGGCTCTGCTCCCCCCTCCCCCGCACCTCCCCAGCCCGGGCTCTCGGCGCTTCCACGCTCTCGGAATCACGACCCCTCCCTGCCATGTATCCGCAAGGCAGACATCCGGTGAGTAATTGCAACTCGGTTTATTTAAGCATCTATCATGGCAGGGTAAACGAGGCGGTTTATCTGGCACCTCCATTTTGCTTGTTGCTACCTTTATGGTGTGTGTGTTTGTGTTCTCACACAAAGGGGCTGGGGATGGGGGGCGCCGCTGAGAGGGAAGGTTAATTCCGCCCGAGTGGCGCGGGGGCTGCCTGTGTTCGAGGGGGAGCTGTTCACGCTGACCCCCTCCCCGCCACCTCTCCCAAGTCCCTCAACTCACCCTCCGTGTCCCCTACCCCCGCCCTATTTGGGAATGGGAGCCCCTTCGTGAAAGGGCTGGGAGCCCCGCTGCCGATAGGGAAGGATCGGGGAGCCCCCCACCCCACCAGGGATCCGAGAAAACTTGCAGGGAAGGTCTGGGCTGCGAGGGTGGCCTCTCCGGTTGGGCGCCGGCGGGGAGGGTCCCCGGCAGCGTGGAGCCCCGTCTGATGCCCCCGCCCCCCTCCTCTGTCTTGTCCTCGCGGGCTCCAGGCTCCGCATCAACCCGGGCAGCCGGGATTTAAATTCACGGTGGCTGAGTCCTGTGACAGGATCAAAGACGAATTCCAGTTTCTGCAAGCTCAATATCACAGGTAAGGCCGGTGGGGGCCGCCCCGGGGCTGGTGCAGAGGGGGCGTCCCGGGCGCGGCTCCTGCCACCCCCCGCAGGGACGGAGGAGGGGGCTCCCGACCCCGGGGCGGCAGGGCAGCCGGAGCCTCCGCCTTTTGTTTCTCCTTTCCGTGCGCGCAGCCTTAACCCTTTGCTGCCCGCAGCCGCCCGGCTCCCAGCGCCGCGCGCGGGGCCCCCGGGTGAGAGTCCGGGTCGCGGGCGGGTTCGCTCCGGGTTCTGGGGGTCGCGAGCCAGCGTCAGGGTCCCGTCCCCCGTCCCCCAGCGGCCGGGATAAGTGCACTCGCTCGGCTGCGGGAAGTTTCGAGTTGTTTCATTCCCTCCTCCCCGTGGCGGGGACCCAAATCCCCCTCGGCCCTGAGGCTGCGGGATAATGGGGTGCCCCCGGGGGGGTGTCAGGGAAGTGGAGACGTGGCTCTCAGAGGCCCTCGGGTGGGAGCCTCGGAGGAGGCTGTGCGGGCGCCAGGCCTGAGCCGGCTCCTCCTGCCCTCGCAGCCTCAAAGTGGAGTACGACAAGCTGGCGAACGAGAAGACGGAGATGCAGCGCCATTATGTGATGGTGAGAGGCCTCCCGGGCCGGGGAGGGCGCCCACCCGGCCGGGGGCGCGGCGTGCTTCGGCGACACTGGAGCCTGGCCGCCGCAGCACGGCCCAGTCCAGGGCAGCCCTGGGAGCGGGTGTCATCTTAGGTTGCCCTTCGCCCTTTCACCGGCTTCCCTTAGCCCGAGCCACTTGGGGGAGGGTGGGTGAGAGGAGGGGCAGAACGAGCAACCCGAACGCCAGGCCGGGGACTTACCCAGTACCTTTGTGCGCCTTTAATTTGTGTTTTGAAGGTTTCCCAGAGGGCTGGTTGCCCTGTCTCGGCTGGTAAGATAGGACTGGATCAGCCCATGTCAGGGTTGGATGAAAAATCTCTTAGAGACCTCCTGGGAGTGTTTGGAAACTTCTCTGCTTTGCAGTCTTGGGATCTAGCTAGAATGGGACAGACGTCCTCCTTCGTCTTTCCCTCTTCCCCAGGGTTTTCTGAAGAGGGGAAGAGCCTTTTAAAGCCCTCAGCCTTCACTCCCCCCCTCAAGGATCTGACATCTGAGAATCCTGTCAGGCCTGGGGCAGTAGGTAGACTATCTCCTCTTTTACCCAGTGTCTGTTCCGGCGAATTTAAATCTTCCGTTTGTGAGAGGGCATGGGAGGCACTTAAGCGTGGCTCACTGCACCACTTTCCACATAAGAGGCCTTCGACCCAGTGCTAAATAACTCTCAGAGGATAAGAGGGTCCCAGTCTACACAAGATTCCTCGTTGAACTCGAACCTTGTGTAAACAGGATAGATAGCACATGCGGTGCTTGTGGGGGAGACCCAGCTCCTCTTACTTCTGTATATGTAATGTGCTGTTGAGATGAGAGGGACACTCATCCGTTGTCCGCTCTTAAATCTCTCTATAAGCTGGCTTTGGAGTTTTATTTAAACTTCTTTAGCAAATGTATCATTAAAGTACAATTTGGCCAAAACCTTTCCAAGAAAAAACTGATTTTAAAAAATGAACAGATTACTGTGTTGTCTGCTAATGGCTATTCTTTTTACTTTTAGTACTATGAGATGTCCTATGGCTTGAACATTGAAATGCACAAACAGGTAAGTGCTTTTCTCTTTAAAAAATATATTTCATTTTTTAAAAAACATACATGTGTACTTCTTATGTCCCCTATTGTTTGGAAATGAGCCTAGTTCTTCTGTTCCTCCCTCTTCTCCTTGAAAAGTGAATGGATCCCATCCTTGAAATGCAAGGTCCGAAGCTTTGCTGATTTTATTGGACACGTTGAACTTTTAGCATTCGAGTTGTGAAATTAGTCCTGGTTTGGGATCTTGGTGTGAGGATAAAGGACCAAAGGGAAAGTTGTACCTCCAGGATCTGCTTTACAAACTCCTGAAAGCCCTGAAGTAGCTGGTTGCTTTTATCTGTTTTAATGTAAAATTCTCAAGAGGAAATGCAGGAGAGTTTTTTTCTTTCTATTTTTCTTTTTTTTTTTTTTTGCAAAATATGATGTTCTGCCTTAATAAGATCAAACTTCAAGAACCTAAAAAGCCAAGCTGAGCTGTTGAAATTTAAGGGAATGAAGCCACTAACTGCTTAAAAATATAAAGCCAGAATGAAATAAAACAGTAATGCCTTGTATTGATGAAGCAGCTTCCTCATTTCTGTCTTAATTTGAAGGCAGCTGCTTTCCCATTTTACAGAGAAGGAAGCTGAAGCTGACGGGTGAAGTAACTTGCCCAGGGGCAACCTAGCCAGGACTTTTGAGATGGCTGGGGGTTGAGCTCAGCTTTGAAATCCTGAAGTCAAACCAGTTGAGCTAGTGTGGTGTCGTTTGATGGATATGTAAACTACCTCGTATTGTCACTCTTCTAATAACAGTATACCTCAAACCGAGCAAATACAAACACCCTTTATCTCCGTGCATATCAGTAACTAGTCCAGCGCTAGGCAGGGCTGTGGGAGAGGCCTGTTTGTGTATTTGTGTTCCAAGGAGAGGCTGCCTATAATTTGGCTTGGCCTGCGATTAGAGTTGACTTGGCACGTATAAATGGCACAGGCCGGTTGTTCTTTTTAACAATTGGTGTTCTTGAAATCTCAGAAGGCTGTTGACTCATTCTAGCCTTTGGTGACCATGACTTGAGTGGATTTTCTGCTCTAAATTAACAGTCATTTACAAGGTTTAGATTTTGCTCTTTAAGGGGGCAGGACCCAGGGCAGGTGAGAAGGGCAGGTGACCCCTGGAAAACATGCAGATTCTTGCCTGCTCCACTGGCTTTCTATAGAGCCTTTTGAATCTGTAGTTTCCTTTCCCCTCCTGGAGGGAGCCCCAATGTTGGGCGAAGGGCAGCCAGAAAGGGGCCTGAGTTTTATTGAGCAGTGTGGGAAGCCAGCTTGTGGCTTCCTGAGGGATTAGTTCCTTAGGAAGGCACATGGAGGCTACCATGTTTTTACTTGTTGACACACAGAAGTAACAAACAGATACTGCTTTATATGTATAGATGTTTCTCCTGGGGAAAACAGACTACAGAGAGGTTCTGCCCGACTGACCGGGTCTGATCCATCCAGTAAGAATGCATGAAGTGGAACTGGGGTCCCAGGTGTTTCAAGGATCTTGGAGTGTTAAGCAAGTTGCCACTTCCTCCCTTTCTCCACCCACCGTATTTTTTTTTCCCTCAGTGCTCCTTATCTTGGGTGTGTTTAAAGAGGGTAATTGCACCCAGGTTTAAAATTTATAGCAGCAGTTATTCTAAGAGCTTCATAATTAAGGTGTAATATGTCGTTGCATGTTGAGGTCTGCATGGGTGGTGTTCCCTGTGTCTGTGAGTGGTTGTTTCTTTGGCACTAAGAATCCACCTTAGCTGGCAGAGCAAAGAGCTGTTCTCTGAGTCCTGGGGACGCTCTGAACCCAGGAAGAGTTAAACATCTTCACGCATTTGGTGGTAGGATTTATATAAAGAGCAGCTGTGTGCATCTGGGATTTCTGGCCATTCCCCAGACAGGGCTCTTAGGGGGAGAATGCCTGAGGTTTGGCTACATTGTCTTGTTTAATCCTCTCAGCTGCCAGTGGTGGATAGTGGGATTCTTTGCTCCCTTTTTATAGGTGAGGAAACTGAGGCTTCAGGGAGGTCAGGAGGGCAGAGGTGGGACTCAAATCAGGGCCTCTGGATTCTGCAATTGAGCAGAATCCTGCCTGCCACTCACCTTTGCCTTCCAGCCTCAGTTCCTGGCATGAGCAAGTGTGCTCTGAATGCGATGCCTTTGCAGACTTCTGGTAGTCTCTGAGTTGGGTGAAATCACCCTAGGGCTGTGTAGAACCAAAGAGACAAGGAGGTGAAGAAAGCTTGCACTGAGAAATGCAACCCTGACCTAATGGGGCTGGCCACTCCCTAGGTTTGCGAGGGTTGTGCAGAAGAAAAGCCTGCCACTAATTGTAGTGTGGGTCTTGGGTGCATTTGGCGGATGGTGGTTAGGCCTGAGCAAACAAGTTTATCAGCTGACCTGTTTAGCGGTTGACTGGTGTTTTATCTGCACACACAATCAAGTGACTGGAGTGCTTGAATTATTCATGCAGTGTCCTGCCCTCTAGACTTGACTGTTCGTGTGATTACATCTGCCTGGAACAAACAGGCTGGATTCTTCATCTTTAAGCTCAGGGGTGGGGGTGGGGACTGTCTGTACTTTTATATAATAGATGATCTACAGAGCTAGCACCTTGAGAAGTGTGGTGGTCCTCAGCCTTTGCGCTTTGCGTGCGTGCTTGCGTGCACAAACACACACACACACTCTGCTGCTGCTTCCACCACTACTACCACCACACATTTTTAAAAAGCTCTTCTTTGCTGGCTCTGTGGGAAATGCCAATTAGCTGGGAACCTCAAGTTCTGCCAGATGGGCCTGTGTATTGACAGAGGGCAGCTGAGGAGGTATATCCAGCCCTTTTTTTATTTTACTGGGAGGTTAAACTCTGTGGCCTGCTCATTCCCTGGCTGTTTCTCTGTCTCCCTCTCACGTTCTTCAAGCTGTCACATCCCAGAGAAGTAATAAATGGTTTCTCCTCCTATTCCTCTGCCTCTCTCCCTAATTATGGTAAAGCAAAGATTACATTCTGATTCTCATGGACCTGGCCCGGAACTTCAAGAGGTCACCCACCTCCTGCAGCTCTTGTGTCCAGGCAGAATGTCAGAGGCAATTCAGCAAGGCCAGGGAGATGATGGTGGCCAAGCAGCTCATCAGTTCCTATCTTGTTCCTGCAGAGACTGTCCAGTGGCAGCCATGAACAGCAAAAGCTTAGAAACAGGGGCTGCAGGGCAACTACTGTGCATTGGATTTGAGGCACTGATGCCATGAACAGCAGGGGCAGGCTGGCTTTTCACTCTGGTGAACACCAATGTTTTGAAAGTGGACTTGAAGCATTTTGATTTGGCAGCAGTGTCATGCCAACACTATAATGGCACCTTTTTCAGTAAACCAAACAACCCTTCTTCTGAGTTTCTTTTGAAATCCTGGAACTGGAAGAGGCTTTTGGCTTCTCATCCAAACCTTTCAGGTTACAGATGAGACTGAGGCCCAGAGAGGTGAGGTGATATACAGTCATACAGTCCCACATTAGTGGTAAAGTTGCTATTACAGTCTTCTCTTCCAGATCCAGGTCTCTTTTTTGCAAGACTCAGTAATCGAAGAGTGTTCCTTTACTAACTAACAGTGTTGTGTCTTAAATTACTATTGCCTCTTTCTGCCTTTTTATCTGAAGAGCCTAAGGCTACAAACCTGGCTCCACCAAAGTCCAAAGTACCCCATTTCAGGTTGTATAACCATATCAGCTGAACCCTCTTTGTCCACAGTCCTGTTCGGAATTGCCAGCTATTTACACAACTAATGATGTGATATGTATAGTAATAACACAGAATGCAGGACTAGCAATCCCAGAGGAGAGGTTCACAGATGAGGGAGAGCGGGTAAAACCTGTGAACTTTTTACCACAGGGTGGCCATAAACACAGAGCTGAAGTGGGAGATTCTCCATTTGTCACTTCCCTCCCCTCTCTGTGTCTTCTCACCTGAGTACTAAGGGCCTGGGGCTGGAACATCTCTAGGCACAACAGCTTGAAGTTCTGTGGCCGGGATGAAGGTAAGGGTGGCCAGAGGGAGCCACCAGGAAGCAAGGTTACGAAGACCCTGCCAAGGAGTTGAGTCTGTGTTGGTAGAAAGAAGCTGAGACCACTCTCAAAGTTGAAGGGGACACAGATCCTTATATTAGGGTAGTGCTTGTTTTGTACATGTGGGTTGAGCTGTGAAATTAATTTTTTTTGCTGGAGTGCTGGCATCGTTGAACCTCCCTGTGTGCTGGTTTCCATCTGACCTTTCCTGACTAATTGTTCTTCCCTGGAACAAAACTCTCTCCTCTGATCACATGGTCATCTCACTAACTGGGTGCCTGCCTCGTCCAGCTTTGGAGTATCTGCTGAGCACAAAGCTCCGTTCACCCTGTCCTGTCCCCCTAGAGGGAGGCCACCCCCCTCCTCCAGACTGCCTTGAACCCCAACTTCTTTGGACCCCTTTCTAGTTGCAGATGGAGTTGTGCAGAGTAGGGGTTTCTGTGCTTTTCTGGTCTTTTCCCTCTTTTGATTATCAAAATGACCCTGGGAAATGGGAAAAATGATCCCTTGTCTTTACTTTACAGATCAAGGAAACTGAGTCTGGGTGGGAACCTGGCTCCTGACTAAGAGACTCATTCCATGAGCCCTCCTGGGCCAGGAGCCCAAGGAAGGCACAGAGCTCTTCCTCTCTTTGGACTCTTCCCTCCCACCTAGTGTAGGAAGGGTCTAGTTTATGTCAGAGGCCCTCTGTTTCCTTTTTGTGATTCAACAAGGAATGAATTCCTTCTTCCTTTCTGCATAGGAGAATGTTTTTCTATCTCATTGTTTTTACAAAATACTGGGACACAAGGGGCAAAAGGTGATAAAGGGCTCATCTTAGCGGGTTTCTCCCCTGTGATCTGGCATGCTTGATGTCTTTCTCACCTCTCATTATCTCGTTGTTGTAGCTGTGGAGGAACCCCTCTGCTGAGGTCTCTGTAGCACCTAGTATATAGTAGGTGC